GGCAGGCTGAACCCGGGACCTGCCTCCTCCGCCCCCGGGGCACCGAAGCCGCCGCGTTCTTGCTCGCAGACCAGGTCTGAGGCCCGAGGTCAGGGTACTCCGCCTCCAGTGCCAAAGTGACAGTCCTTTCCCACTACCTTGAACAGCCGCACCCAGCTCCCAGATCCCTGGGCGGGAGACCGTCTCGGCTGAATCCTCGTCTTCCTGAGAACTCTTTTCACCCCCGCCTTGCAACGCAAGTCTCTTTGGCCCCTGAAATAACTGAGGCTGATCTCAGGAAAGGTAACATCCTCCTCTCCACCCGCCCCCCCAATTGGGCTCCATTTTTTTTTTCTTTCCACTTGGGGCCGTTGGAAGCGCAGAGGAAAGTGAAGTTTGCCGAAATGTGCGCCTTAGAGTACGCTCTGAGAGCACCGGAACACGAGTGTACATCTTTCAAGTTCAGGACTTCCACAAACAGGTTTTTTTGTTTGTTTGTTTGTGTGTTTGTTTAAGTCAAACGCTGCTATTTCGGGGGGGAAAGTGGAGAAGGGGCAAGGCAGATGCTCTTCATACGAAGGACGCTAAGTGCTAAGCTATTGCTTTCTGAGTCTTATTTTTAATGCTTTGCTGAGTTCTGAAAATCCACATTCAAATGAAGATGCTAAAGAGTACCATAAAGGAAGTGGATAGAAAAGGAGCATCTCTCCGCTTTCGGAGAGTTTCTGAGAAGAGTCTTGGCCACCCGGAGAAATCCGGAGGCCTGAAGTGTTCGTTTGGCTGAAGACTCCAGGACCGCGCTCCAGGGTGGCAGTTCGGGGGCAGCGTGGGCCCTGCAGTTGGCAGAGAAGACGTCCGTGCGTATCTGGTCCCGCGGAAACGGGATTTCCAAAAACCATCTATCCGGAAGCCTGCACAGCCAATGCAAATGCGCCCCGCCAAGACTTCTTCCCCTGAAAAACCGCCTTCCAGAATCTTTTCTGCAGCAAGCATTCGGTGCTCACGAAATGATTTTTAAAGAAGGAAACCTGGAGAAGTCCTCGCAGCCGGAGAAGCGCAATGCAAATGACGCGTGTATTTTGGAAAACCCCTGTACCCCCGACCCCCACCCCTCACTTTCGGAGGAGCGCAGAATCAAGCTCTGCTGCACCGAGGAGCTTCCGAGGAGGAAGCCCAGCCTCGCGGAGCTTCCAGTTGCCCTCCCCGCGGACCCCGACAGGAACCGAAACGGCCTCGGCCGCCGCAGACGCCACTGAATCCTGCCGCAACACTCGCTCCACACAGAAGGAGCGCTCCACGTGGCGCCTCCCTCTACCTGCCGCGTCCGCCGACCCGGCCCGGGACTGGGGAACCCGGAGAGCTGAGCGGCGGGCGCACCTGGGAGAAGGCAAACTCAAATTTTGCACGGAGTGGAAGATACTCACGAAAGACTGGGGTGGACGCGGCCTCGGGGGCAGCTAAGTGGGACTGAGAGCGCTCTGGACCCTTCGGGGAACCCCACAGCTGAGGTTCTCCAACTTGGTGGGAATTTTTATAAACTAAACTTTTGGATTTGACATTGCAGACGATTTTTTTTTTCTTTTACACTGCCACTCTGTCCCTGGTGGGAAGGGATCGAAGTTGCCTAATTGCTAAGTAGTAACAACCTGGGGTGATAGTGAGCCCAGTAAGATTCCAACCCCCAGAGTAAGGGGAAGTCTGATCACAACCTCCCGGTTTGCTAATCCCCGGTGCCGAGTTCACACGGACGAAACACCCCCCTGGAGTATTTCTGGGACCCTTTCCGCTCTCCTTATATGTGCTATGACCGGAGCGAGGATTTTTTTTTTTCTTTCTTTAAAGAAAAAACTATGCAGTTACCGCAGGAGTTTTAGGAGGAGGGACTGGGGGGTGGGGGGAGGCCGTTCCGTCTATAAAAAAAAAAAAAAAAGGTCTTCAAAGTCCTAAAGTTTGGAGACCACAGTAGAGGGTATAAAATATTTTTTTAATCCGATCTAATTTGCCCACCGCTCAACCCTCTGCTTAACTCGGTATGCTGTTTGGGAGTGAGAGAGAACGAAAGGATCTTTGCGTGGAAAATTCCACTTTCGTGCGATCCCTACTTGAACACTCACAGACACACACTCTCACACTCACACACGCACACACACACACACACACACACACACACCCATTCCTCTTGGGGCTTTGTGGCTGGAGACCTTTTTTCTTGGCTTTTGTAACTGCCCTGAACCTCTTGTTTCTGTTTTCAGAAGGAGATGGGGAGGCTAATTGTGGATATATGTAAGCACAACATTTTTTCAGTCATAACTGATAAGTTTCTGAAATGCCTTCTGCATTGCAAACATGTGCATCTTAATAGAAAACATTGCTTTTCTCAATCACTAGTTACAGCCTCACTGCAAATATTCCAGGAGGAGGAAAACCCCCTTTCTTCTCTTTGAGAGATCCGCTTGGCTTATTTTCTTCTTCGTCCCCCTTTGGAGTGGGGGTTAGGGAAGGGTGGGGATTGTTACTTTTAAAAGAAATGATCCATCGAAGCCCCTGCCTTACCTTAAGAAATCGAGCCAGCCATCATGAATGATGGAGGGATCCAGCTGCAGAGAGAGGAAGTTCTCATTGACTGTCCTGACTGGGTTCTTGGTGCTCACATCAAGTAGAATCAGGGTCTTTTCCTTCAAACCTGCAGCTCTGTCTACAGGCAAGGGTCTCCTGTCTCCAGCTTGGGAGGAAAGGGAGAGATGGAGCGAGAGAGCCAAGGAGAGAGCCAGCGGGGCTAGGCACGCGGGGGGGCAGGAGTTGCTGACGGGCATAGCTTCAGGGAAGGCACTGAGCACCCTCATTAAATCCCTCTGATTTAAAACTCTCCTACAGGGTCTTGCTGGTGACTAATTGTCCTTATCTAAAGTGTGTGTCTGTCTGCCTTCTCTCCCCCCCCCTTCTCCCTTTCCTTTTCCCCCCTCTCTCGCTCTCTCTCTCTCTCTTTCTTTCTCTCTCTCTTTTTTTTTCCAGTGTTTTGGTGCTGGTGGAGCGAACTCACGCCCCTAGCCAGCCTTCTCGGCAACGGGTGCCAAGAGTACTCGTTCACCAGCACCGCCCCTTTAAGAGATTTCGACTGCAGACATTTTTTAACTTTTTAAAGGTAAGGGGTGGGGGGAGGAGGAGGCGGGAAGTAGGAGGAAGGGGTGGCGTAGTACCCTCCTGATTTAACCCTCTAGGGTCAGGAAGCCGAGGGAGGGATCGGAGCTCGACTGCCGTGCGCTTGGGTATGGGCGGGACGTCTCGCTTTTCCTCCCCTCCCTGCGAGGCCCTGGGGAAGGCGGTTCTAGCTCGGATCCAGATCGCGGAGCCCCTGCGCCAGCCCGGAACGCGCTGGGGTAGAGTCTACACCGGCCGCGCGCCTCTTTATTTTGACAGTGTCAGGCATATGGTCGGCTTCGCGTTCTTCCCCCTGGGTGGAAGCTGAAAGAGCAGGAATGGGAGTTGCAAAAGGGTCCTGTGGGCGACTGCGATTCCTGCCAAATAGCCGAGTAAGGCGGGAGCCTCCTTGGAGACGGGTCCGGATCTCTGCAACGCACTGGGGGGCCGCACAGAAGCGTCCTCTGACCTCCACAGGGCAAAGGGAGGCCAGAGGAATAGCCGGAGTGACAGGTCAAAGGGCTTTTCCGCCTGTAGGGGCAAAAGGGCCCAGTCTGCCCCGTGACTCTGCTTGGCCTGCAGCCACGGGACTTCAGAATATACACTGACCTGGCCAAGTCAAAGCATCCCGGTCTGCGCGGCTGGCCTGGATGGCGCTGCGCTCTTTGAGTCACTTCTTGACCACCCTGCTGCTCCAGCAGAGCCGCGCCTCCAACCCTCCTCAGGTCAACCGAGAGGAACTGAGTGACCCCGTAGGGTTTTCAAACTGGCCTCCAAGTCACAGCCATCTGCCAGCACATAGCTCCCGACTGGAAAGAACAGCTGTGTGCACAATACACCCCAGCCCGTGCAGCTCCCACCCAAAATACCTCTCATATTGAGTTAAAAGCCCAGAAAATAAGTCAGGCATAGTTTCCTGCAATCACACCTTCAAGCCACACTTTTGGTCTCTTTCTAAAACAAAATGGGCCTTCTACTTGGCAAATGAACCACTTTATGTAGTGTGGGAACATATGAGCATATGAGCGTGCAGAGCAAAGATTTTCCCCAAGAGTGAAGCACAGGGTGCAACCTAACAAACACTGTAAAGGCAACTTGTCTCCCTTCCCTCCGCCAGATAGGACTAAGGATTCTGGAAAAGGCAGTAGAAGGCCATTGGCTGAGATCCCCTAAGGAACTTCTACAAAACTAAGCATACACAACCAAGAAGTCCAGAAGTTAGGTTGGATTAGATTGGAAAGAGTTATGAAAACCTTCTAGAAGTAGAACTACATTCTACATGCATAGAGTGAGGTCCAAAGAGAAAGGAAATTTAAGACATATCATTTTAAAATGATTTTACAACCAAAATGCTTATATACTGAGGTGACCAAAGTAGGCTCTGGAGCTACGGCTTGCTGTCTTCTGTTCCTGAAAATTTCTGACACACTATTTCCTTTAAAATACGTGTGTATGCCATGTGTGGCTGCATGATATGATACATATTCCAGTAGAAGGTGCCATAATCTAAAAATGGACGCGGAGCACCTCCTAGAGATGGTGACAGCCCAGTGAGCAAGTATGTTCATCTTTTCATGTCCAGACCTGGGCACTTAATAGGCACTCAATAAATGCCTGGGAAATAAATTGATGCTAAATCAAATCGTGCTTTCACAGTAAAATCACATACTGCTTTCAAGAAAAATGTACAAAAATACTTTTGTCACAGCAAACTTGGTTTTAGGTTTCAGTTCAGTAATTAATTGTCTTCCCAGTTACTAGCATTTTCCTAATCCTCTCCAGGAAATGCTTCTCTTGCAAATTCAGAAGCCACTAGTTCATTAGCTATATTGAAAACTAAATACCAATTATCTTTTTTTTAACAAAAAGCCAGATTTTCCAAGAGATTTAACACCCCTGACTTATAAGTGAATGTACTTTTAGAAGCACATGAATTGGGAACAGTGGAAGATCACTTGAATGAAATCAATTACTCAGTCATTAGATATGTATAATTAATGTATCTTTCAAAATCATCTACTCTTGTGACTAAGGATGATCGTAGGTAAAATGAGAATTTGCTAAATTATTAATTTTATCTGTAATTTTTGTGTACTGACCCAGCTATTTTGTACTGTCTGGTGGCCAAGTTCCTTCAAATATGTTTTCATCAGATCCTGGATAAGTCAAAACCAAAAAAACAAAGTGGCTTTTCCTTATTTTGTGTTACAAACCTTGTCTTTAGTCTACTCACTGAAGCTCAAAGTGAAGTCCAGCCTCAGGACATCAGACAAAAAAAAACAATAAGGAGTTCCAGATAAACCTGGTTGACTCATATAACCCAATTGTTTGGTCTTTTGCTCTACTTTGGATATAGAACTCTCCAATATCATTGTTTTTGGTTTTGGGTTTTTTTCATCTTGTCTCCCATCTAAGACTAATTATATAAGCATCTCTTTATTAATCTGTAGATTAAGATGATGTGTCAATTCTAGCTTCCATGTGCTGTGACAACAATTTGCATTTCTGGAATTTCTGAGGGGACAAGAATTGGGATTTGTATAAAATAGGAATTATTGGGAACTAGATGCATTGAAATTTCATTATAAATGAATGCCTGTCCTGTATTACTAAATGGTACTTGTAAAAAAAAATCCTCTAATATCTAGGTCTGGGTCCAAAACTGGTAAGAATGTTAAAGCTAACTGCTCAGTGACTTCTAAACTATGGGAACTGGAAACAATTATTAGTTAATGGGGGGGGAGGGGGACCTGACATATACTTACCAATTTTTTTTATTTCATTTAGTAAAGACCTTTAAAAAGTCTATGAACTACTTACCACTATTACTTCCCAACAGAAAAGAACATCTTAACAACCAAAAAGTTGAAATGATATGTCAAAATAAAGCAACAACAGCTTCATGAAAAATAACCATAATAATTTAGTCCTTTCATCTCAGACCTGTAGAAATATGCCAGTGACCAACTGGCCAAAAGGATTGGTGACAGGGACTAACAACATACCCCATGTGTTTATGGCCCAATCCTACTTTGTAGCATACAGTGTTACTACAAAGTGTGCATGCTTTTTTTAATGGTGGTCACCTTGACAATAATTTCTTCCCACTTTTCCTATGTTTTCTTTCTTATGATTAGCCTTTCTCAAACTCATGGATCCTACATGCCACCTCCCTTCCTGCTATTAAAAATCAAAGCCTCCCTGCTGGCACAAGGGGTTAAGTGTCAGCACTATAAAGCAATCTGAAATCCCTGCCAAAGAGGTGACCCACCTGTCTCACCCACTGCTCTCTTTGGCAGTGTATTTTGGTCAGTTTGCCTCTTCTGCTTCCTACTCTGTCTCTGGTGATTCCTCTCACCGCCCCACCCCACACACACACACCTCTTGCCTACACCCCAGCTGTTATATGCATAAATAAATTCTTTTTTAAAGCTATACTTAGGGCCCTCCCTGGTGGTGCAGCGAGTTAAAACACAGCACTAAGAAGTGAAAGCCACTTTATGAGTCCCATCCCCACCCCAGAGGTGAACCACATGGCTCGGGCAGACCTCCCCTGACCCACCCGCTGCTCCCCTCAGCAGTGTACTTCATTGATGTGCCTGTTCTGCTCCCCACTCTGTCTCTAGTGAAGCCTCTCGCCACCCCTGCACCTCTGGCCTGTACCCCAGTTCTGTATGCATAAATAAATCAATCTTTTTTTAAAAAAGAAAAGCCATACTTACTTCTTTGCCCATTTCATTCTTCTCAGAAACCTATACCTACATGTCCAATAGAAGAAAAAAATATATTCCCCATAATTGTGATGAGGAAGCATGAAGCTACATATGCTAAGCATGAAACACGGAGTCCTGTCTCATTGCTGCTTGTGTTCTTGTCCACCATGATGACCATTAGTTGCGATCGTATGGTCCAGGCATGTGCTCAGAGCTATGTTATTATTATTTTCAGTAACACTGAGAGCTACACATACTACAATATTATACCTAGTTTACAATGAGGAATCTGAAACAGAGATATCAAGCTACTTTCTCATAATGCACAGATAATAAATAGCATCACAGGATTGATACCCAGGCTGTTTAAATCAAAGCCTATGTCTGTTCTTAACCACCATATTCAAGAGTAGGTGGCTCTAACAACTTTTCAAGGTATAAATCTTGAACTAGGAATTGGAAAACCTGAATTTTAGCCCTGACTTTGCCTGATCATAGCTTTGTCACCTTGGATACCTTTTTTAGCTGTTCTAAGCCTCAGTTGCCTACTCTGTAAAATTAATACAATATCCTGAATTAGAGTAAGACTCTGGAAAAGGTTACATCTTGAGAAAGTGCTTTCTATATTCAAGCGCTTGAATTTAGTCCATTTCTAGTACTAGTTGTCTAGTCTCCTACTCATTCTTGTTCCCACATTTCTGCAAATATATTTTCTTAACTGATGACTTAGGCAAAAATGGAATTATATGTAAATAACTTAGTGATAAGCTTGAAATAAAAGGTCAACACTACTAAATCAATAAATGAGTAATAAGATGAGTAATTACAACATTTTAAGTAGTTCATTGTTCCATTTGGTGAAAAAGCATTGTACTGAAAGCCAATTCCATGGAATATTGAGGCTCTTCTGCCCATGATTATCATCTTTAAAAAAAGAAAAACTTAAGCAGGTTTTATATGCCTCCTTCAATTTTTCAACAGGAGTGAGCAAAGATGGTGCTGGGAAATAGCAAAATGTGTTTTTTTACCACCAAAACTGGATCTCTGTCTTGCTTGATGGTG